CCCAGACCTATGGTTTGTGTGTAACCTGAGAGGGTACCCCGTCTTCAAGCAGCAACGCCTGCTAAGCTCCTTCCTGCTGGCTGGTACTGACCCTCAGCTTCATCATTGCCCAACTGTGCTCTGTCCAGATTCTAGATCCCTGATTCTGCTCTGACCACTGGCGTCCCTCCCTGAGCCCCAAACACCTCCAGGTGAGCTCTTATTCTGCCACTCTACTTCTTCCTTTTAGCTCCCCAAACCCCAACCTCTTTGCCTGCATCTACTCTCCAAGGTGGATAAGATCAAAATATTATTTCTCTTACAGTATTTGGTTGAGTTTCATGGTATATACGCAAATTTATAATAAAAACTCGACACAGAGAAACAAAACAAAATTTCTTAGGTTTTAAAACATATTCACAAAGTAATTTACCAGACAGTGCAAAACTGTATATTATCATTGAATGCTTACCTTTATCATGCTCATCTCCTGACCTTGTACGAGAATGTGCAGGTAGGAAATTTTGTATTTGAGATCTAAGCGGTACCTGATTAATGAACAGCAGTAAATTATAACTTGCCAGCTGGTTTTCCAACATTCGGCTGTAATAATAATCTGACTTTGTATCTCCTTTTTCTCCTTTCCTTTCCCCATCATTGTCATAAAACTAGAAGCATATGGAATGATATTTATTAAGGCAAGGTGAAATCTATGGAAAATTGTTAGAAAAGGGAGACAGAAGGTTGTTTAAAACCATTATCTTTGTGTGTGTGTGTGTGTGTGTGTGTGTGTGNGGGAATTTAATTTTTTTTAAGATATAAAGCAGTATCTGTTTCTCAGTCAGAGCTTCAGAATTTGTCACAATTGCTGTGCGCTTGGCCATGTCAGACACTGAGGTGCAGCCAGCTCGCGGCAGCTCCTCCCCTCATAGTGGCAAGAAGGCCATATTAGTTCCAGATGTGACAATGAGCCAAGAAGTGTCACTCATCGTGTCTCTTGAAGGTGAGAGAGCATTTCCCAGAAGCTCCCTATTCAGCTTCCCCTCATTGGCCAGGACTGGGTCACATTCCCGTGTCGACACCTCGGTGGTCTTAGACCATTGAAGAGTCACCCTGTGGGGCTTGGCCAGGCTGCCTACAGCACGTGGCTAAGCAATGGAGTCATTGAACCCACACTGTCTGCTCCATGATGGGAGGCTAACGTACACAAAAATTCAACAATTATTTTAGCTTCATGGTTGGACTTGGAGGTCATTTTCGGTTACACTGTGAATTTTTACAGAATTTAAAAAGAGGCATCATTGCACAATTCCAATCCGAACAATTCCTAAACCACTGTTTTTCAGCCACTGTTTAACTCATTCGTAATTTTCTTGTTTTTCTGCCTCTATCCTTGCCTACTGAAGCTTTTCAAAAATCACACGGAGCACAATGCCTAACTCGACTGAACTCCTATTTTGTCCACCACAGTTCCACCAAAGCCATTGATTTGTAGGCATAGAGATGACGTGGACAATGGATGCCTGGGTCTGGAATAATTAAAAAAGATCAATGGTCCAGGAGGTGGAAATCAGTTCAAACCCAACTGGAGCATTTAGCTATTTTACTGCTGCATCCTTTTAGGTCTCTTTCAGCTTATAAATATTAATTTAAAGACTACCAACAAGGACAGTCAACAAATTTAGACATAAAACTTCCTGTCAGGGGTAATTTATATCCAGTAAAAGGAGAGCAGGATAGAGAAGGCCTGCTTTGCTAAGTTTATGATAGACAGTGAAATAGCACCATCAAAATCAAAAGGGTTTCATTCTCTCGTCAGCTGTGTGGGCGTCTCCCTTCTTAATAAGCAGCATTCTGGAGCTGCATTGTTTGCTTTTATCAGTGCCTTGCACTGTTGAGGAAAAGTCCTATGGCAGTGCTAATTGAACTTGTACAGATTTATAGGCTCAAGGTCTGTGCATGAGAGAGATTATTAGGACTTAAAAGATAATAGCGCCAGCAAGAAAATTAAAACTGCTCTCACCACTTATATTTCAATAGTGCGTAAGTTCTACCCTTTATACATCCTGTGATGGTCTAAGAATGTGTATGAAAGAAGACCTGTCTTAAGATTCCATGCAAGAGGGATTAAATACCAGAGGTACCTTTCTGTAGGGGCCCTACCTATGTGAGTCAGAAAGTTACATTTCCATAAAACTGCTTTCTAGGTGAAAGGTTAACAACTCGACACTTCTACATGATCACTGCTAGGAGACATTTCTCCATGAGTCTTTCACATGTCCATGTATCTTGAGAGCAGAGGCACTCTCTGCTTTAGCTCTGGACAATCTTTTCATTTTGTCTGTATATCGATCAGCCATGGAAGAGAGAACTGGGGTCTCCCTCAGGAAGAAAGGCCAGGTTTGAAACTCAGAATTCTCCTCCTATCATGTAACCCACTATGTGCAGAGGGGCCACTTGGCCATCTTCATTTTGTCTTGTGGGAACAAGGGCTTGGGAAACTGGTATAGATGCTCGTACTCTACCTACAGCTTTTGCCATGAGTAATACAGTCCTTTGTCTCTGACCCAGGAGTGTCACGTCTTCTTCTAGTGCCCTTGAGNGAGAGATGAGAGGGGTTTCCAGGGTGATGGTAAACAACAGTCTGAAGCACCATCTGGGTAGCAGCCTGGAAAGCTAATAGCACAGGCCAGAGCAAGAAGTCAGAGGGGGCCCTAGGAAGAACATTGCCAAAAGAAACATGAAACCATTTAGATGTCCTTGTGTGGTTGGTCATATGGAAAGGGCTTATAGAAATCTGATGGGCAGTTTTGGGATAAATTAATGACTGGTGCGTATAAGCCTAAACTAATGACAAAACCTAGGTAATTAACTCCAGGGAGGAAAAAAAAAAGATTGGGGAAAAAAAAAGAAATATAGCTACAGTTACTATGTGACTAAGCTGTGCATACTACTTCCATAGACCCAATAATGTAATTATAAATAATGCTTTACTTAAAAACAGTACTATAACTATTTTGGGAAAATATGACAGTTGCTGTATTGATAGACTGGGGTTGTGGGAGGTGGGAGAGTGGGGGTGGGTAGGACTAAGAGGCAAATTGTATCTGCCACATCCTGCCATATGCTTAGTCTTCAACAAGAAGTAGGGTACAATTCCTGTTCCTCTCAGTTTACTATCCAATTCATGTTCTGTAGCTCACTGATCTACTTCATACACAAATATTAAGGGATATTGGGCATTAGGAGGTGACACAAAAATGATAGGATTTGGTAGGAGACAATTTTAGAAGGATTGATTGATTGATTGAAGAATATTAAGCATGGGCTTAATAGAAAAAGGAAGTACAGTAGCAAAAGAAGACAAGCAAAATATACTGAGAGTAAATAATACAGACATGGAAACATTAAATTTAGGAAAACATTAAAAGGTCACATTGAAGATAAAATAAGAAAGAGGCCTTGAAATCTGGTGATGAGCTGCCCAGGTTTAGAAAGAAAGGTCCTTGAGAAGGAAGAGTTCCAAATTAAGGCCATATTTGAGGCCACTAATTCTAGAAGCTGAAGACGAATAAAGTGGGCGTGGAGAACAGACAGTTCTATTAGGTGGAAAGATCAGATAAGTGGCTGACTCAGCAACAAAAAAAACACAGTGACAGGGATCTGGGTTTGAGCTGTGTTGAGGAAATGAAGAGAACAATAAAATGTATGGTTAGTGGACATTAGTTGGTTTTTGGCTGTTGAGCATCCAACCCTTTATGCTCACTCTTCTCTATGAGTTTTTGGTCTCCCTTTTGGGGGAATCCCCTAATGTGTGTGGTTTTGGTGAGTCAGTGTCCATCTCTTCATCTCCCACTATGGATTCGAAGGGGGCCAGCCTCTCCTTTTCTCTACTGGATAGTAGGAGTGAGAGGGGAGGATGAGCATGAGGCTTCACTTTGACAAACGGGACATACTCTCCTAGGACTTTGGATCTTGAATAGGTGTAAAGGAGTGTGGAGTGAGTTGAAGGTGAGATGATGGCAGCTACAGTGGGCTGAAGGTGAAGAGATCTAACTCTTCCTCTGCTTGGGCTCTCAGCCCCCTTGCCTCTTGCTTGATCTGGGAGCCATCCTTCAGGTATTGGAGCCGCCAATGTCCTTTCAACCGATTCCCAGTTTGCAAGAGGTGGTCACATTTCCTTTCTCTTGCTTTCTGCCCATATGCCCAACTGATACATTAGGAGGTACCATAGAGGAAGAATTGGTAGAATTAGATGACAGACTGGATGAAGGACAGCACGGACAACTCCTAGGGGAAGTGTGAAATGGACGATGATTGACGTTGGCCGAGATGGAAACAATAAGGTAGTATTTGTTTGGAGGGAGATAGTACTTTGGCTTGTTTCAAGACTAAGTTAAATCCCCTGTGAGGAGTTGGAAAAAGAGAACTACCGAGAAGCAAGATGTGGAGTTGAACAGGTACACTTGGAAGCAATATACACATGAAACAACATTCATGGGAACAGACAGAGCCCTGCAGAGGGAATTATAGAGGAGGAAAAGTAGAACTCTAAGCTACTAGCCATCCTAGAGAGATGCAAATGTATTTCAGGAAGGAAACAGTAAGAACTCATAGAGAACTGAATATATAGATGCTTATTATGTTTCAATGTTTTGCTGTTAATATAAATGCTAAACTTCATGGAAAGTCTCAATGTTGTAGATAATACCACATAGCTTGATGTAAAGAAAGTGGATGACTTTGGAAGAAAGTACCAGAAAACATTGACTCTAATTGGTGTAAACAGTGAAGGGCTGTGTTACCTTAGGAACAAGAAGTCCACAGTTAGGGCCATGTCCAGGTGTAGCAGATCAGCTTCAGCTCAGCTTCTCTGAGACTCCTTGGATCTGTCCTCTGTGTGTTTGATCTGACCTCCAATTGGCTCCTTGCGGGGGACCAGCCCCCGCAGGTCCAGGGGTTCCCTCAGGTGGAGGCGGAGTCCACGAGGAAAAAAGGNTGGATGTAGGGCTGTCTCTACATGTGTCCCTGAGGTCGCTCACAGTGACAGTGTAAGCCGGCATGGGAAGAGAAGGGGGATAGGGCACAGGCTAGGTGCCAGGGCCTGGGACCAGCTCTCCTCCTGTCTCCACGTTCTTTCTGTCTGGAACTTCAGGAAGCCTGAGAATGCTACATTTGTAACTGTCCATCCAGGTTGTCATGAAGGGGTCCTGTGACAGTAAGAGAATGCAAGGTATTATTTTGAACAATTTCCAGATTGGCATATGACTTTTTTATTGACTGATAGTTAAGTATTTAGGTCCATGGTGTGTGAGCTGCCATTTGTTCTCCAGCTCCTGGCCCAACAGATGTAGAGGGGAAGGGGAGGTTGCTATAATTTACATAACATGTGAAAGCAGTGGTTCTCAGACTTGACGCTGCACAGAAATTTCTTGGGATGCTTGTTAAAAATCTAATTTCAGGCCAGAACCCTCCAGATACTCAAGCTCAGTTAGCCTGAGTTGGGGATCAAGAAAATGCGTTTTTACTAATTTTCCAACGGTTTTGATAGAGGCGGTTCAATGACCAGTCTTACAGAGTCACAGAGCTCCCTGGTGGACTCATTGATTTCAATGACAAAACACACCCAAGAGAAACTGCTAAATAGCACTTTTGAAGCATTATCTGAGCAAAGTAAAAAAAAAAAAAAATGGACTGTTATACAAAACCAGAATTAAAATATCTAAAGGAGTGCTGTCCCCTACAAAGTAGTTCCCCTTGGAGGTTAGTCACTTATCTTAAGCAGGCAGCTATGCTGACAACATTTTGACACTGATATTTTAAAATTGCCTTTGGAGGTGGATTATGAGCCACATCAGAAAGCCAATCTCGTTATTTCACATCACAGTTTGCTTTTGACAAAAAANAGCTATGCTGACAACATTTTGACACTGATATTTTAAAATTGCCTTTGGAGGTGGATTATGAGCCACATCAGAAAGCCAATCTCGTTATTTCACATCACAGTTTGCTTTTGACAAAAAAATAGCATTACCCAGAAGGATGATGCATATTACTTAGCAGATTTAGTTCCTGTGTTTTCCAAGTCAAATATGTAATAAAAGAAGATCTATTACATAAACACACCTGTTTATTTCAGTCTCCTCCTGAAACTGTACCACAGTGACAGTCAAGAAAGAAAGAAAAAAAAGGCATAAATCTGCAAAAACAAAAAAAAGTGAGAGAAAACGTTTAAGAGGAAACAGGAATCAATATATTGAAAACTGGAAAATGGATGGAAAAGCGGCCATGGACTTGGCAGACCCACAAAAGCTGAAATCTGACCCTGCCATGATGAAAGCTCAGAGGAAAACTGGTTTTACCTGAGAACCTTGTTTCAGGAATGAGAGGTAACAAGCAACTCAAAGAATCAGGAGTCCTGGGTAGGGGTGATAAAAAAGATTTGTTAAAAAGTTCAGGGGCTGGCTGAGTGGCTCAGTTGGTTAAGAGCTCGCTGAAGATTTTGAGCTCTGAGCAACAGTGGTTCGATTCCCGGCCTGAGCTGAGCTGCCACTGAGCATTGGTTAAAAGCTGGCTTGGGATGCCAGCTCTGAGCAGCAGGGCCTTGGTTTGGATCCCACATGAGAGCCAGTGACACTGCCCTCTACAGCTAAGATGCTGAANTCCTTCTTTGAAATCCCTTCCCAGACTGTAGCCCCTGTGATCGGGCCTAGGTAGACCTGTTTATGCCTTATGACCCTTCCAGTCAACTTCTGATTGGACTAGAGGTAGAGACATGACCTGAGGGGAACTTATATATAGCTTAGACTGTGCTAATAGGATTTTACTGTTTGTTCTCTTTGCCACTGCCTTTTCTTTTCCTCTCTTCAATTAAGACACATAGAAACTGGAACTAACCTGCCATTTAGACTTCAGGTCACAACTGGAGCCACAAGAACCAGCATATAGTAGGTTAAGTAAGAAGACACCAAAGCCTTGCAAGAGCAATTAGTCAGTATAGAAAATAAAATAGGTGGATTCAGATAGGGAGAGCTGCCCAGCCCTCTATTTTGGGGATCAAGATGAAGGAAGCTTGGAAACCACTTTTCAAAACTATATTTTGGGATATATTATCACTTTTTCACCAATGAGGAAATTGAGGATATCAGAGACTAAGTAATTCACCTTGGCTAAAATCTTTTGTTGGTGGAGACAAGAGCATAAATAAAATAGGTAAATAATTACCTTAACGTTCCCCAGTTAGTGTCAGCAGGTGTTGTGCTTAGTGCCCAGAGCTCTCCTGGGAAGCAGAAGCCCTCTTTCTTAGAATGGTCACATGAGGGGTGGGAGGGGGGGGTGGAGGGGCTCCATGCACAGCTTTGTGTATTGAGGTGTTGACCCACCTGGACTGTCCCTCTCCCAGATCACATCAAACTCCAATACAAAATTAAAGGAATTGAAGAAATTACCGTCAATTCAAATTGTAGTCACACAAGGCATGGGCACAGGAATTTGAGATATGGAGGGGTTTCTTTTGCAGTAAAACAAACAGCTAGAACTTGGATATTACAAATCCCTACTATTAACAGTGTTAGTCATATACCACTTGGCAATGGCCTTTGCCTCTATTGTCTCCCTCTTATCATCGCCTCTCAGACCCTTCCTCTATTTCTTGATCACCATATTCTGACTTCTTATGCAAAGTGATTTAGCTCTTTTCAGCCCCTACTTCCAACTCCACTCACTGTGTCCCAGACAAGGCTTTGGATGAAGCTTTGAACATCTGTTTGAGGGTCACCTCTTCTACCGCAGGTCCAGGCAAGTTTCCTTCTCAGTTTCTACCCAGTGGTGGTTTTTATAGATATAAGTTCCGTTGTCATCATCATCATCATCATCTTATTGTTTTATAAACAATAACAGAAAAACAGCCTAATGAATGTATTCTAATTATCTTTTCTACTCCAGTTGTGAATTTTTTAAAAAGTGTGTTTTAGGCTGAGAAAAGCATTTACTAGAAAATGTGGGGGGAAGAAAAATTAAAATTAAGTGGAAAGTTAAACAACTATTCTGTGTGTGTACTAAAACATGTCACTCTGAGGCATGTTTTAGGGACTCATTAATATATGCAGCAAGTGGTTGAATGTGTCAAGTTTTAATTCCAAGGCAGATGTGGACGGAGTACCAAAATATGTGCTGTTGGGTCTTCGTGATGGATTTTAGTGTGATGGTACCTGCAGTGACAGCTAAATTAGATTAGAAGCTGAAGTTTGCAAAATGTTGCAATTTGTTGATTACACGTGTCAAATCCCATTGTCAAAATCTATTTTTGTCCATACAGTAATAAAAATTGGCTCCACCTTAAAATAAGCTGATAGCACCCATCATAGAATGTCTTCCTAATAAATAATAAATAACCGAATTGAACACAAAGCCAATGAAGGGAAACCCCCTCTCTCAGTTTTAAAGAGATTGTTTTAAAATATTTGACTCTATGTTACCTACATGGGCTACAAATATACCAGAGGGAAAGCAACCACATAAGCCAACCATGAAGAGAAGTAATTTTAAAAGGTGATATCTGACTGGTTTTATTAAATCAACCTACTTATTTTTTAACATTGATTCTTAAAACCAAATCCAACATTTATCTTGGCTTTATTAATAAACAGAAAAAAAGTGGATATAAAATATAACTGTAAAATAAGAAAAGAGCTAAGACATTCTTTACATTTTAACCTGCTTCCGTAAGATTGTAGCTATATATAATAGGCACTCATTATAACATTAGTAAACAGTAGTAAATATAGTAAACATTAGTTAAATGAATAAATGATTAGATGAATGAATATGGAGATTAAATGTCTAATTGTTGATAAGTACCCATAGAATCATTTTATTCTTATCAACAGACATTCACTTTGCATACCCTATGTCTAAGCACTATGTCCAGTTCAGAACAGAAAGAATTATGGGGCCTGATCCCTCTCCTCAAGAAAAATGCAAAGATTTGATATTTTTAGAATTTCTAAAAGTGAGTAGAGCAGATAATTTGCAGCAAATGATACCCAAAAGAGCATGAGTAATGAAGACCTTATGGATGTATTTACTTGGGTCAACCTGGAGAAAAGATGGCCATCGGTGCCTGGCTTTCTATAGACATCAAGTTCCATGTGTGTGCATGTCGATGGCCGGGGGGATTTTGTACTTGTGGAAAGACACAGAATGACTCAAACCACACTGCCAGTGGTCTGCTTAAACTGTGAATATTAACATTGTTCAGGGCCCATCTTTACTCCCATGGCTTCCACTAACTTCTGTTTGCTGAGGGCTCGTAAATCTCCACTCTCGGTACAGATTTCTCCCCTGAGCTCCTGATCCAAACACCTCCCAGATGACAGCACTTGGATACCTCACAGACACCTCACAGACACTCCTAAAATAAGTCCAATGTAAGGTCTTGGGTTCTCCTGGATGAGGGAATGGGGAATAGCTGCTAATGGGTACAGGGTTTCTTTGGGAGGTGATGAAAATGTTCTGGAATCAGTCGTGATGGTTGTGAAATTTTGCGAATATTTGAAAAGTCAGTGAATTGCACACATAGAAGAGTGGATTTTATGGTATGCGTGACATAGATCTCAATTATAAAAGAGAAACAATATCACTTGCTTCTATGTCAAAATCCCCCATGATAAAGAAAGGTGCTACCAATAACTGCCCCACACTGGAATCTTAGGGTTGATGCCAAGTTGGATGCTTCATCTTATTCCCTCAGCCTGATTCTGTGTCTGATTGCTGCTGCTGATGATAATCAGAATAGTATAGTTTAAATAGTATTAATGGGCAATCAGAAACTCTTTGTTGAATAAATAAATCCTATAATTCATGCCAAACTTAATCTCTTTTCTTCACCCTCCACATTTAGTCAGTCACCAAGTTCTCCAGACACTGTATCTACAGAAAATCTGATTTGTTCTCTCCATCCTCATCAGTGCTGTTGCCTTAGTTTCAGATCTTGTTCTCTCTCCCCGGATTACTATACTAGTCTTCTCTATGTCTTTTTCTCCCAGTTTGTAATATGAAATTAAAAATAATTTCATTAAAATGAGACTCCCAATTAGCTTCCCTTAGCTCGAGGTTTCTACCCTTCTAATCCCATGTCCACTGATGTCCAAGGGGGCTAAGATTCAAATAAGATAGCGTTTGCTTCCTACTTAAATTTTCCAGTGATTCTCCACTGCCTACAAATTATAATGAATGAAATTTGTTAGAAGGTCTATAGGAAGGAAGGAAGAAAGGAAAGAAGGAAGGAAGAGAGGGAGGAAGGAAGGGAGGGAGGGAAAGAGGGAGAGGAAGGAAAAGGAAAGAAAAGGAAAGGAAGAGAAAACTGAATGCAATATTTTTTATCCATTTGCCTTTTAGAATCCCAGTCTAGCTGGTAAACGATCTTTGTCTTCCTTCAGTAGTTAAGATCTGCTCAACTCTTATCCCTGTATTGCTATAGCCTTCATAGCTAAGAAAACGAACTGCTCTTCCTGAGCACTTTGGCCTAGTTCTGCCTTTAGTCAGAGGAGATGTAGAAGGTCCTGCCAGTTGTTCAAAGGAAACACATCCAGTCAGGATGACTGCTGGTTTGGCTCAGACCTTAAATAAAACTCAGTGGATTCGGGAGATGGGTCCTTGTCTTAGTCCCTGTATAAAAATCCCTGCTTTGATCCCTATGTTCACTAATGCCCACATCAATGGTTGCGGTTCTGCCTTGCCCCCTTAACTCCCTCCGAGTGTTGGAGCATTGCCCGTCCCACCCCGACTATAGGACCCTCAGCCCTCCTACAGGCTGTCTGTGTCTGCTGATTGGCTGCTCATGTGTTTCCTGTCCTGGCTCCAGCATACACAGGCCACCTTCCTAGAACCTCCCTTTTCCCAACTATCTGTCTCTAGAAATTTCCAGATCAGCATCCTGTCCTGAGTCTCTCTGGTCTGAGGGGATGTCGGGCCAGGCCTTCCTCTATGTAGGGAGAATGCAGATAGCCCTACCAGCCACTGGAGGGAAGTATCAAACCAGGCTGGTGGCTGGGGCAGCTGAGCACATCCTGTGTTTTGGAGCAATGGTGGCCTCCCTACAAGAGCAGAGGTGGAGGTATCCAGCTTAGTTCTGTTTCCCAGTGATCTTGGCCTGCCCTGGACTCCATAGTTCTGATCCAGGTATCTTGCTCCACTGTGTGTGTGTGTGTGTGTGTGTGTGTGTAAGTGTGTAAGGGTGACCAAGAGAAAAATGGATGACAGTCGGAGAGAAACCATCTCACAAAGCTGAAGACCACTTGCTTCTCCAAAGCAGCTTGAATCTTCCTGCCTGAGCTGCCAAGTGAAGGGCGTGATTAATGAAGAGACGTCAGGGAGATAATTCTTCGTAGCCAGGAAGAGTGGGGAAAAAATTTTTTTTTTTTAGAATTGTTAGAGGCCTTGTGGAGACAAAACAAGAAAAGGGAGCTTGTCAGGTTGTAAAGGCACCAAGAAGCAATAATGGTGGCACCA